CCTTAGTTTCCGTTTTTTTAGGGATTTTTGGGAAATACATTCATTCTCATCAGGTAATATCTCTAATATGGGTAGCGGCACTACGGATGCAGTGGGAGTGCTACCGTTAGTGGTGGGAACGCTAGTCGCCTGTAGTTAGTGTCAGTAGGGATGGAAGCAAACTTGAACTGTATCCATGCTGATCTTGGTACACTGGAAGCTGTTACTATTGAAGATCTAAGGGTGCGTGGTGGGAAACCCGTCTAGGCGGTTCAGGCTTCCTTGAGTTTACATATAGGTACTTGCTCTCTTTTCTGTAAGATCTTGAAGCCAAGCTGGGTGAGGCTCCCAGATAGATTAGCAGGACTTTGGAGGTGAATTAGTCAATAGTTTCTTGGCTGTTTTGTTCCCTTTACTTCTGCTGTTGGAGTTTCCTTTTTGGTCCAGTTGCATACTTTTTTTGGAGTTGCAGACCATGGGACGCTGGACCCGGTTTCCAGCACGAGCGTCACTCCCGGGTTGAGATGTTGAGGGATTCCCGGCCTCATTCGATTACGTTTATAATATAAGCTGCAACTTGTTCAAAAAAAAAAAAAAAAAAACTTGCAACCCTATGATTTGTATTTTTGAATCTGACACGATTCTGACTTGATTTACAATTTAAAAAAAATGAAAACCTAAAATTGGTAAAAAAGAAAAGAAAAAAACAAGAAAAAAAAGCAGGAATTTTTTTCATGAGTGATATGGAGTAAGAGCCCTCCTATATTTTTCATCTTTTTTTTGCCATATTTTTTGGGACATTTGGTATTATAATAAAACAAAGATGTTAAAAAAAAAAATTGCAAAGAAAAAAGGGCCAAGCTGGGGTGGGTGTGGTCTGGGTGGTGGGCGACTACCACCCACAGGGAGCATGAGCAACATTGCCGTATCACATAATGAGTGACGTCTGTGACATGGCAACACAAATTGTGCTTCTTATGTTCATGACAACAAGAGAGAGAGAGAGAGAGAGAGAGAGAGAGATTTCTTCTTCGTCTTCTTCTTCTTCTTCTTCTTTTCTTGTTCTTCTTCTTGTTGTTCTTCTTCTTTGCTGTTTTTTTTTTTTTCATCTTGTTGTTCTTCTTCGTTGCCGCCCTTTTTTTCTTTTCTTTATCTTACATTTCCGCACCCCCCCCACCTCTACACATCCCCATTAACACCCCGTGCCCTTCAAAGTTGCACCATCCACCCCCACCCCACCCCGCTGCCTTTCTCCTTAGTACCCTTACCAGGCACCACGGCCCTGAAAAATCCTCCCACCCTTCCACCCGCGACCCCCCCCCCCCCCCCCCCCAACCACACCCGCCCCCTATGGCCGACCTGCCTCGCCAATTTTATTTTATTTTTTTGCCAAATTGGGGGTCTGCAACACGTACCACCCCCCCACAACTTCAAATTTGCGATTTGAGGGGGTTCATAATTTTTCTACCACCCCTCTAAAAATTGAATATCAACCCCCCCTCCCCCCACCTTATTGCAGTTTTCTTTTTTTTCTTTTTGGCGGGGGAGCTGGGGGCCGACCTGCGCAGGCGGCACGTGCGCCCTGACCTCAGGTGCACGGCCAAGTGGCCTAGGCCGCAGCCTCCTTGGCCTTCTCCTAGGCCGTGGGATCTGAGACTGAGGGTGCCACGTAGCCCCTCCCTACACCCCCCAACACTCCTCAACGCCCCACTGTCTCTCTCTCTCCCTCTCTCTCTCTCTCACACACACACACACGCACACACACGCGCACACACACAGATTGCCTGCCCTCCAGCAGTGAGGAAGTGCTCCCGTTGGGAGTGCCCAACTTATTGTGCAGGCTGCGGCGTCCGGGCGGTTCTCTCTAGCCATTGGTCCCCTGCAAGGGTCTGACGGCTGGCCTGCCAGTTCGTACCCCCGGGGTTTTTCCTTTTTTTTCAATTATGTTTTTAAATTCAAAAAAGAAATGGCAGCGCGGGCAGGTCCGTGACTGCCGGGGCCAGGCCCCCATGCCACCGAAATGAGGTTGCCCCCTCCCCGCTGGCCGCGGCGCTCTTTGGCGGGGGGGGGTCTACCCCGTTGAACTGGGGGACAATGGGGATTGGACGGGGGTAGGGCGGTGTTAGGACGCCGCTCTAAGTTTAGAGCGAGGACCCCCCGTTCTACCGCTGCCCAGACACTCTGCGCTTAAGCGCGCTGAAAAGGTTGCATAGACTGTGACTTTTAACACATAGATCACAGATTTGAATCGTAATGGACGGAGATGTAATGATTGCAATCATGTGAGGGACTTCCCCATTCGAAAGGGAGAAAACAATAATATGTGAACCAGGAAATGGCATAAACGCACATTGAAATTGTACCTGAGAAAAAGGTTGAAGTCCACTTGCCCAAACAATAGTCAAGCTGTGTGCATAGGCCAGTGTCACTGTGAGGGCAATTCTGGATGGTAAGAGTACAGGTCGCTGGCAGGCACTATTTTGCACTGCAGAATGTAGGCCACGGTGACAACTCCCTATTTACAGAACGATGATTAGGTCCTGATATTCTATCACAATGGAATGACAAAAGGGCAGAAGGACTGGAAACGCATAACAAGGGTAGGCAAGTCATTTTCTCGTCCAATACCTTGCTGTCGCTAACACAGGCAAAATCCAATTGGAATCATGTGCGCACGAGCACACACACACACACACACACACACACACACACACACACACACACACACACACACACACACACACACACACACA